TTATGTTTGTTTAACTTTTTTGTTCAAAATTTATCTAAAAAAATTGTAAAAATTGAGTTAATATTTTAATTATTATTAATTAAAATATATACTCAATTTTTACAAATACTTTACAATTTTATTATAGGTTTTCTATCCCTGTATCTCTACATAAACATACATAGACCATTTGTATAGAGTTCACCTACTCAGGCAAAACCTAAAGCTAGTTTTACATGGACCTATTTATTAATTCAAAATAAATCTTAGAAGAGACTTTATATAGGGGAAACTGGGTACGGTAGTAATAGTTAAATTGTACTGATTTTGAGATAGTGAAAACACTCCCCAAAAAGGGAGAAAGTTGAAGTATGTTTGTTCGAACAAGTTTACAATATTACTTTCAGTCAGTGCTTTATATTAACATGATTTATTGACCGAAGTGGTTTTGATGGGTTAAAAGTAGAGTTCGAACTTTTTTCGTCAAGTTGAATATTAGTAGTAATTTTAACAAATTTAAAAAAAATAATTTAACTTTTGTCGTTCATTTAAATTGTGTAGAATGTTTTTTTAAAAAATCCGTGGATAGTAGTCCATGGTTTTAACTTGATAATTTATTTTTTCTGAAGTGTCCCAATGTGAAACAGTCCGAAACTTCTCCACTTACATAATTCAATACATATGAATATATGTATATATAAATATAGGTATGTATGTTTTCAACTTGGAACACATACAAAAACTAGAACCTAACCTAACGTTTTACTGGGCCAATTTACTAAACAAGAATATTAGATTTCGTGTCACAAAATTAGTATATTTATTAATTAAATTATTCACGTTCTCTATATTTAAATCAAACCGAAAAATCGGAGAAAAAATTGTAATGGATCCTAGTTTTAGTTACTAAAAAAGTGAGAAAGATAGTACAAAAAATTTAATGTTTATATGTTTATATTTTACAAGGTATCAATTAAAAATATAGCAATAATTATGAGCTCTATAAAAAATTGGTAAAAATAAAATACTAGTATTAGAAGTAGTATTATAGAGTATGCCTAAAAGATATGATTTTTTTTGCTTTAAAATTCCCAAGAATTATTTTGTTTGCTAAACCAACTGCAAAATAGTTCTGCAACTTGCATACTTATTTCTCTATATTTTTATTTCAATTAGCACTTAATTAATTTGTTTAAACCAAAGCAAAAGTTTATATAAAAATATAATAAAAAGTCTAATAAATTGACTGTATACATCAATATAATTTTAGTTATTTTTATTTTCCAACTAGAGTATTAGAATAAATTTGAACTTATTTTTTAAAGCATTTTTGAAAAAATGAGTGTTACCTTGCTTAATATGTGCATTTTAATTAGATAATAATGAACAATTGTATATATTGAATGGAAATTAAAAAAAATATATATAATTTATTTTATGACATCACCAGAAATTCAAATGATTTTGTAAATAAGTATCAAACAGCAAAAAAATCATTATTATTTCAAATATAATATATTATTTATTAAGAAACTTAATGAAGGTAGAGAAAATCGTAGGGAAAATGTGGAGAAAATTTAATTTTGTTGGCAAACTGTTTGTACCATGATTTTGTACTTTTGGTATATTGTTTATAAAAATATCTACATTTGGAGAAAATCAAAAAAAATATATGTGTTCATATAAAAATTATTAAATTATTTATTAAAACAAAATATTGGGGACATCTCCTGCAAGAGTATAAATAATGACAAATATTTTTTTGTGGTCAAACTGTTTCTACTAAGATGTAGTAATTTGAGTATATTATGTATAAATACATCTATATTTGTCTAAAATTCAAAAACATATATATGTTCATGTAAAAAATATTAATTTTTTTATTAAAGCAAAATATTGGGGACGTCTCGTGCAACGGTATTAATAATGACAAACATTTTTTGTAGCCAAACTATTCACACTAGATTGTTATAAATCGAGTGAATTATTCTTAAGTATGTAAACAATAAATAAAAAAAATAAAATTCTTATGTGTCATGTAAAAATATGTAAAAAAATGGCAAACAAACAATTAAATGTATTGGCATCATAGATACACTAAAACTTATAAACGAATATTTTGTTGTTGCAAACGTAATTTCCAAAAATTCATGAAAAAAATACAAATTTTTGTTAAATTTTTATGCCAAAAAAAATTCAAAACCAAAGACAATCTTTTACATATAAATTTATTCAGGAAACTATTTTTGATCAATTTGACTAAATTTTACATTTTCAAATTGATCTTTTTTTTGCAACTGCTTTAAGTTACGTATTAGGAAGTACATGCAACTTGCCTTAAGGCCAAAATATATATATATATATATATATATATATATATTAGTATGAATAATTTAAATAAATTATCTTTACAAACTTACCCCTTTTTAGTACCCATTTTCAAATAAATCCTCTACCAAACTTTTTAGCAAAAATAGTGTGTTTTCTCTAACCGAAGCACATTTGATCACAATCACTGGCACCAAATCACTGTTTAAACTCAAAATTAACTTCTATATATATATTTCCATATCTGTATTATCACTTTAGTTGAGAAAAAATCACTAACAAAAAATCTTGAACCATAATTGACATGGAAGACGTCGTGAATGTCTAAACAAGCTGCTGATAGCACTAGTTTATCTTATAATTTAATAAAAATTTATTATCTAGTAATATATTAAATAAATAAACGATAACTGGATTTTGAAATATTTTATGCATAGTGAAATTTTCGAAAAATTCAGTTACGAGGTCCACTGGGAACTGAAATTTGAGAAAAAGATGTTGGATTATAAATATAAATGTTATCAAATTGATAAGGTTGAGTTTTATCTGGTTTAGTTTTTTTGTGGTGTTTTTTATGTGCTAGAAATTTGCAGAGTGAAAGAAAAAAATTTGGATTTTGGTATAAAAGAAATTTTCGGAGAAGTTTTAGTCTTTGCCCACAAATCCGAGTGTCAATTCTTTTAAGGTATTGAACTTGAGTACAATTATGTTTTTATATGCTTTATATATCCTAAACCACTTGATTGACATAAATGATGTGTATGACAAATTTATTTGTTATTAAATAATTAACATTTTGTTCCAATATCAAAAAACTCTACAACAACTCCTTATACTTTGAATTAACAAATTTCTACACCATAAACACTGTTTAAATTTCAAACATCATAACGCGTTTATTTATTAAATCTCTTATAATTTTTAATCGGTTTGTCTAATTATGGTAAAATATTTGGCAAATTTGTACAAAATTGAATTAATTATAATGAAAATTAACATTATAATTTCTTACAGCAATTTGATATACTTTAAAATTACAAACCTTACTAAATTTCGAAATGTAATCAAGAAATTAACTAAAGTTTACAAACTTTAAAATAAAATTCTAGACAATTTTGTTCTCAAAGTTCTAAATTTATTGATACCTAATTTTAATGAATTTCATTAGATTTCTGATAATATATATAAATCATAAAATAATTAATAATTATTAAAAAAAAAAAATTAAACCACACCAGCTTGAAGCTAAAACAATTTGTTAGTCTTTTGGAGATTGTGATTCGAAAATGAATTATTTTTATGTAATTTTGTTCTAATAGTTTCAAATCGTTAAATACAAATTTGTAGATACTTGTGTTGGCTTTCCAATGATATATCATGATAAATAAAAATAGAGTTAAATTTTATCAGAATAACACCAAATATAAAAAAAATGTAACCAATCAAAAGCACTGCTAGAGACTAGATTTTGAATTTCACATATTTTTATTATTACATTTATTTAGAAAAGTTGTTAAACATTATAAGATAATTTTATCACGTTTTTAAAAATGTATATCGTTAATGCTTATTTTCATTTATTTATAACAAAATCAACTAATGTTATAGACACACCCCGGATTTTAATATCAAAGTTTAGAATTTTTTTAAAATAATTTTGTTCTAAACATTATAAATCATTATACATAGTTTTATCGACAATTTTATTAGCATTTATTTGGTATATAACAATCTTTATTTTTATATTAATTAACTAATCACAAACAGAAAAGTAAAAAGGTGTCCCTTTAATTTGTTGTATTTTCAATGAAAACTCCAAGCAAGGACTGAAGATGCGTAACAAAATGTTTAGTAATATAATTTTATTATATATATATATATATATATATATATATATTTATAATATATATATATATATATATATAATATTAAATTTCATTTTGTTTATAATATTTGCATGCATGTATTCTGCTCATATGTTATTCTTAGAAATCCTCGTAACACAATTCTTTTGTTTGTAAATATTAAGTATCTCGTATTTAGCAAATGTGCAAAAGTATTGTTGCAAAATTGATAAGATTAAATATTTTCGTATCTGGTGTATTCTATTTCACGTTATTTTGTTTATAAAAATTAATCCATTTAAAAACAAACGTTGGAGATATCAGACGACACATGACACATATTGTTTCTTAATTAAAATTCGAGTAATAAAATAAGATGTTTTGTCTTTGGGTAAATATAATAATAATCATAGTCGTTTGTGAATTTATGAGGCTAGATTATAATTGATAGTGTTATGTAATACATTTGTTTGTTTAATAAATTTTAATTATAATCGTGTAGAATCCGGGATCCAAGGTGGAAATCCGGAACTGCTCCGGTTACCTTATATATATATATATATATATAATATATATAGTAACTACTTTTATTTTTATTTTATAATTTATGTTAATAATTTCATTTATTTAATTATAAGCTTTAGTGTATTCTTAAAATTTAAATTTAATTTCGTATAGACTCTCACTAAATTTTAGTTAGTAATCAAATCTTCGTGCAAAAAGTCCAAGTGATTCAAGACAGATGTAGACAGGTGTTAATTTTGTATGGCAGGTGAACGCACGTTTTAAAATATTGATATGCAAATCCAAAAATCACATACAAACACACACATTCATTTTCCAATTGTGGTGTCATGTGATTCAGAATGACTTGGAACGTCGGAAAAACACTATAGATTTTCTGGTGCAAATATAAACTTCTCCTTTGGTAAAAATGCAGAAATCAGGTGAGCAATTCAATGAAACTTGTAACTTTTTCATTTAATAAAAACAAATCTATTTACAACCAAACATTCGATTCCTTTAATCGTCATAGTTATTATTATTACAAAAAACGTAATTAAACTAATTTTTAAATTAAGCTTCAATATTTTATACGAGACTATACAAATGTTTATATACCATAAAATAGCTAATAAAATTCTGCATCAAACTGCATATCTAGATTTACACATCATCTTTATGAAAATACCTGAAAATCTTGCTCAAACCTTCAACAAGACATTAGCACAAAAAAAAAATTGTCATTTTTTTAAATTTTTTAACAAATCTATCATGTTATTTGAAACTATACAAATATTTATATATTAGGTTGTCAAATATCTCTCTTCCGCTTTTTTGCTCTTGGTTTAATATACAAAAAGGCGGAAGGGAGATATTTGACAACCTTATATCGTAAAATAGCTAGTTACATTCCGCATCAAACTGCATATTTAGATTTATACAGCATTTTTATGAAATTACCTGAAAATCTTGCTCAAACTTTGAACAAGACATCAGCTCCAAAAAAAAACTTGTGACGTTTTTCAACATTTTTAAACTAAGCTCTAATATTTTATAAGAAACTGTACTAATGTTGATATATCATGAAATAGATGATAAAATTCTTCATTAAACTGCATAATTAGATTTACACATCATCTTAATAAAAATACCTGAAAATCTTGCTCAAACTTCGAAATATTTATTCATTTATTTATATCAGTGTATGTATTTGTTTCTATTACGAAATCGTCTATAATTTCTTCAACACTTTCTTCACGTCCACAAGACTCTAGAAGAATACCAATTCACCAAATGGTGCAAATTTACCAAAATTGAAACCAAAATTACGTGATAGCATCTCTGAATGCATTATTAAGTCGTTCAGTAGGCGAGACGCGTCCGAATTAATTTTTTTTAAATTCTCCACATGAAACCGAAAGTCGTCTACTGCCAACAAACAAACTAAACTCTTGAAACTGTCTCTTCTACGGCGAAAGTTTAATAATTTAATAATTGAATGACATTTGTAGTGATAATAACACTCATTGTGTTTATGTTTAAAGGGTTCAGAGACCTTATGATGAAATTAGATATATTGCATGACATATGGTGTGATCCAAATTTGACGATTCCCACCGATATTTCATCTTATGACAGCTTATTAATTCTATATAAAGTTTTATTGCTAATTTTCTACAAAACTGTTCAAAAGCGATTTTTATCTCGCAGTTTTTCTAATTGATTTATTTTAAATTTGTCTTAATGAATAAAAATAAGAGACTACGTTTGAGACGTTGCAAGAATATAAATTTTTTACTAACATGAGATAGGAATTCTAGATTTAATTCAAAACAGTTTTGAAACATTTATTAACTTTCCGAAGAAGTTTATGTTTTTGTCAAAAAATCCGATTTGCTAATTTTATGTTTTCTCAACTTTCTCAAATTAGAGAACAAAAATAAATTATTACACATTTTGGTAAGTTCAACTAGTTATTTTGTGTCTTTTCATTTCCAATTGAATTATATTTTAAGATTTCACCTAATGATTAAATTTTTACCAACTAATAATCCTAAAAATTTGAATAAAAACATTTAAAATTATAGTTTAATAATTTTATTGATAAATTTAAAATGGGATTTCTTGGACTTTCTTCCAATTTTTTTAACTTCTTGTATGGTAAGTTATAGTAATCATCCAAAAATCGATTTTTTTTGCATAAATTGACGTTTCAGAGGTTTCAGAATATTTATTTATTTATTTATTTATTAATTTTACAATCCGGCGGTATAATAATATTATAATAAGGCTTAAGTCAATATTTTATAGGTTTAATATAATTTAATTAACTATTAGCTATTTCATTACTTATTTATTTATTATTTAATTAATTTACTATAAACTTATTTATATTTAGGTAATTTTAATTATTTTTAAATATAACTAGTTTGTTTGTTGCAAGTATTTTTTAAAAATTTAATAGGTATTTTAATAATCTTCACAATACCTTTACAATATAATTATTTTATTTAACAAATTTTAGGTTATTTTATGATATTTTAGCAAATTGAAGTATCTTATATTATTATTATTTTTATTATTATTATTATTATTATTAATAATATTATCATTATCATTTTTATTATTATTATTAAGTATTTTTGCAATATAAGTTTTTTTTCTTTTACAAATTTTTAGGTATTTTGATGAAGGAAATATTTTGTTTCACATTTTTTTAATTTTTTAAGTATTTTAAAATAGAAGTTTTTGGTTAACTAATTATTAAATATTTTAACAATAACAGTCATATAAAAAAATTAAAAATTTTTTATATGACTATTATTCTGGCATACCTCAGAAAAAATAGATGTATGTGTGTGGACACGTATGTGTATCGACGATTTTGGAAGCACCATCAACCGATTTGAATTTTTCAAAAATCATTCGATCCCTATTGATGGGGAGATGTTCTGATTAGTTTTTGGCAAAGGTGGGTCCAGCCGTTACGGAGATACGGAGCAAAGAGTGCAGAAAATATAAATTGAGTGATACGAGAAAATAGAAATTGAGATACGAGCATCCGATTTGAATGATTCAAAAAATATTCCACTAGTATTGACGAATAAAGAATTTATTAAGTTTCTTGCAAAGGCAAGTTCAGCGATTTCGCAAATTCAAAAAAAAAGGTTTTTAAAAATGCCATTTGTTTAAAATCAAATATTTTCAAATATTTCGAGAAATTTCAAAATTTAAAAAAAAAATCAAAATGCTCAATAAAACCGATTTTCTATCCCACGTTTTTACAAAATTTGAATTACGGTACGGAAAGTTCTAGTAATTTTTCTTAAAGCACGATGCCATGCATCACTAGTTTCCAATTAAATTATATTTAAACATTCCCCTAAATGATTCAATTTTGCCCAAGAAATTTATATGAAAATAATAAATTGCAAAGATAAAAATATTTTATGATACTTGAAACCATAATGGTTAAATTATATTATAAAAATTTCATAGATATATTTGAAATATGAATTCATGCATTTCTTTGCATTTTTTTTTATAAAATTAGGATTTCATTTCTTACATTAATGTTTATCCCCCCTGGATGTGTATTTTGCGATCAGTTTGGCGAGTCAGTAGAGTCCCCACTTTTCCCCAATTAGCTAAACCATCATACATATATAAATACAGAGAAATTAAGTATGGTGGATTTCAAATCGTCATTGTTTATTGTTCTATATTGTTGTATAAAATAATTAATTTTTATTTTACATTAATAGTTTAACATTTAATTAATTAAAGGTGAGAAAATTCATTAGTGGAAATTTTTATGTGTCTCGATTTTTTGTCAAAATAATTTTGTGTGTGAGGACGAAATATGAGGATTTATGTTTAATAAATTTAATGTGTCGACAAAAGCTAAAATTAATTTAATTAATTAAAATATGCTGAAAGATTTTAAAAATCGCAATTTCTGATCAAAATTTGGTGGCAAAAATTCTGAAATCCAGAATCTTAATACTTAGAAAAATAACGGTTTTTCGAGCAAATGAAGATTTAAAAAATGATTTATTTTGCATATTACAAACAAATGGTAAATTAAACTAGTGGTGTATGTGCCTTAAGGCAAATTGCTGGAACTTCCCGAACCGTAACGAAACGTTAAAAAAATATAAAATGTTTTCGAATAGATTATTGTAAAAACTGTAACTTTCAATATTATTAATTTATAGACAAAATATAAGAGCTTATGTATTGGACGATGACGTTTATATAAGTTTACATAAAAAGTAAATAAATAAAACTTTATCAAACGAAGTTAAAATGAAGTACCTTATCTCATATTTTTGAAAATTATATAAACTGAATTGCAAAAGTTTAAAAAAATTATCTCAAGTACATAAGTGAGCTTTGAAGTTTTAGCTGAAATCAAAGCAAAAATCCGATTTATTTACGATATACAAACAAAAATTTCGGAGAAAAATATTAATTTTGAAATAATTTGTTCCCCAAAAGCAATTGTTTTGTCAACACAAGCAGAAAGTTTTATGAATCATTCAAATCGGATGCTTCGTTCTTGCAAAAACTGTCACTTTAGGCACATTTCGCTCCGTATCTCTAAAACGGCTGGACCTGTATTTGCCAAAAATAAATCACCACTTCTCCCTATCATTATGAAATGAATGTTTTTTGAAGCATTCATATCGGATGCTCCGTTCTCTCAAAAATTCGATTTATATTTAATGCACTCTTTGCTCCATATCTCCGAAGCGGCTGGACCTGCTTTCGCCAAAAACTAATCAGCACATCTTCCTATCAATAGGAATTGAATGTTTTTTTGAATCATTTAAATCGGTTGATCCGTGCACCCGAAAACGTGGACGATATATTGCGGACACACAAATCGTTAAAAATTCATTTATTTTTGGCGTTTTTCTTCGTTTTTTTGCAAATATCTCCTAAAATATACATTTTAAAGAAAATCATGTAATGAACAAAATAATGTCAATAAAAGTCTTAAGGGGGTCTTCCTATGTGACGGCCTGTTTTTAGGGATATTTTCGTATTTTTTTCTACGACCAGTAAATATTTAGAGCTTCAAGTTTTTTTATCATTTATTAACACATATTTGGACAGTATAAATATAAAATTCCAGCTACATGCATTTTTTCTGAGGTATGCTACAATGTTCAGAAACCTCTGAAACGTATAGATATGCTAAAAATTTTATTTTTGATTTTTGGTCCATTACTATAACTCGCCTTATGGGAAGTTGAAAACATTTGAACAAAATTTATAAATCGATTTTCATTTTTACTTTCCCGAAGGATAAGAATGTTTTAGCCAAATCCAATTTGCTAGTTTTGTTTCTTATGACGTTGTAATTCATTCTGAATCGTTTGACACTAAAATTTATGGTAAAGTTTAATCTTTCATTTGGGGAAATTTGATAAGGACTCACGCTGATTAATTTTCTCGCAAAAAATCCTTAAATGATTTTAAAATTTTAGAAACCGTTTGAAAAATTTCTGTTCGAAGTCCTGCTGATTAGATTTTGAAAAAGATCAGCTGGGTTTTTTTTTTCGTAATTAATTGTAGAATTTTCTTTGCTGCTCTAATAAAACTTTGCACATTGTTAGTCAAATTTAACATCCCAAACCATGATAGAACTATAAAAATTAATTTAAATCATAAAAATTCATGAGCAGCGATTTTAACTTAACTGATTTTAAAATTTTAAAAACCGTTCGAAAGATTTCTGTTGGAAGTCCTGCTAATTAGATTTTGGTAAAGATCAGCTTGGTAGTTTTTTCGTAATTAATTATAGAATTTTTTGCTGTTCTAATGAAACTTTGCATATTGTTAGTCAAAATTAACATACTTAATCATGATAGAACTACAAAAATTAATTTAAATCATAAAAATTCATAAACAACGCTCTTAGGACATTCACTGTGTATATTCCAGTGTGTGTGTTCTAAATTATCATTATTATTATTATTATTATTATTATTATTGTTATTATTATTGTTATTATTATTATATTATTATTATTACTATTATTATTATTATTATTATCTTACTATTTCTATTATTGTTATTTTGTTATATTTTATTATTTTACTAGTAATATTTTGTTATTCAGAAATTTTATTTATATTATGTATTCATTTTATTTTTATTATTATTTGCTTATATTTTACATTAAATCATATTATGGATATTATTTTATTTATTCAAATTTATATTAGGTTGTCAAATATCTCCCTTCCGCTTTTTTGCTCTTGGTTTATAATACAAAAAGGCGGAAGGGAGATATTTGACAACCTAATATTATTTTTTATCAATATTACTTGGTGTTAATAAATTAGCAGTTGTAATAATTATTGAAATTAAAAAAAAAAAAAAAACAGTGTGTGTTTAGTACTAATTTGTAAACTATCTATTTCCAGATGAAATCTTGCCGCCTGCCAATACTTTCCTCGATCCTCCTCTTTGTCTCGATTGCTGCAGCAGCAAAAATGCAGCAGCAAGTGACCTTTATGCCTGCTGGCACCAGCATTTTTCACTTCATCAGATCGCCACATAAAAGTGCATTCGCCATAGCAACTCCTCATCTGCGCCAAATGTTCGTGGCAAGATATTCTGCTCCAGCAGCCTCGAAAATAAGGCCTGCTGCAGCAGTTGCAGAAGTCACCGAACAGCAAGACGATGTATATGAGACAGCAGGATCGCAGAAAACTTACCAACAACCTGGTAATAAAAGACAAATTGTACAGTAAACGGAGCGTTTTGGGTCTGAATTTTTTTTTGTGCTCCGAATTGCATGAAATGTCGGAATTAGGTTCATCTTACCCTCATGTTCAAAAGTAAAAACATTTCGGGTTTCACTACCCCTCTGGGGAATGACACCACTTCTCAATTGTGTAATTACATTTTTTCAAAATAACGTCGGAAAAAAATGTCTTTTAAAGATTTTTAAAAAAACTAATACTTTTCAAGCTACTGGCCACTAAAAATTCATATATTTTTGGCGTTTTCCTACGTTTTTTTGCAAATATCTCCTAAAATATACATTTTAAAGAAAATCATGTAATGAACAAAATAATGTCAATAAAAATCTTAACTAGTGGGGTGTATGGCATCGTGCCTTAAGGCAAATTGCTGAAACTTCCCATACTGTAACGAAATGTTTGAGGAATACTGAATGTTATCAAATAGATTATTAAAATATTATAACATTGTCTAATATTTATAAGAATTATATAAACTGAATTGCAGAGTTGAAATTGTTTGTTTAAAGTATATTAGAACTATAGTCAGAATTAAAAATAAAATCTGAATTATTTTCGATATACAAAAGATTAAAAAAAAAAAAAAAATGAAACAAAATTTTTTTGCCAAAATCAATTATTTTGTTAAGACAAGCTGAAAGTTCTTTGAATCATTTAAATCGGACGCTTACAATTAGTTCTCTCAAAAACTGCCATTTTTTACATATTTAGCTCCGTATCTTCGAAATGGCTGGGCCTGCCTTTGCAAAAAACTAATAAACACTTTTCCCAATCATTACTAATTGAATGTTTTTAGATCATTCAAATCGGATACTCCGTTCTCTCAAAAAGTCGATTTCTATTTTCTGCACTCTTTGCTCCGTATCCCCGAAACGGCTGGACCTGCCTTCGCCAAAAACTAATCAGCTCTTTTCCCTATCAATAGGAATCGAATGTTTATTGAACCATTCAAATCGGTTGATCCGTGCGCCCGAAAACGTGACTGGAAATTTCTATCCATACATACATACACACACACACACACATACACACACACACATCCATTTTTTCGGAGGTATGCCAAAACGTTCAGAAACCTTCAAAACGTCGAGAAATGTTAAAATTTTCAATTCCGATTTTCGGCCCATTACAATAACTTACCCTACGGGAAGTTAAAAAAAAAAAAAAAATAGGAACAAATTTTTTTTTTCAAAATCAATTATTTTGTTAAGACAAGCAGAAAGTTCTTTGAATCATTTAAATCGGACGCTTAGTTCTCTCAAAAACTGCTATTTTTTACATATTTAGCTCCGTATCTTCAAAATGGCTGGGCCTGCCTTTGCCACAAACTAATAAACACTTCTCTCAATCATTACTAATTTAATGTTTTTTAGATCATTCAAATCGGATACTCCGTTCTCTCAAAAAGTCGATTTCTATTTTCTGCACTCTTTGCTCCGTATCTCCGAAACGGCTAGACCTGCCTTCGCCAAAAACTAATCAGCTCTTTTCCCTATCAATAGAAATCGAATATATTTTGAACCATTCAAATCGGTTGATCCGTGCGCCCGAAAACGTGACTGGAAATTTGTATCCATACATACATACACACACACACATCCATTTTTTCTGAAGTATGCCAAAATGTTCAGAAACCTTCAAAACGTCGAGAAATGTAAAAATTTTCAATCCCGATTTTCGGCCCATTACAATAACTTACCCTACGGGAAGTTAATAAATCGGTGTTTTATAAAGTGTTCCAGGAATAATATTAAGCGAGATTTGAAAAAGCAAAGTCGTTTTTTATTTCGTTCAAGATTTAATTGTTATATTTAAAGCCATCTAGTGTCGAGGTTTTATATTTTATTTCGGTTAATTTGGGTTTTATGGTGCTCAACATAAGCTTTAAAATGAGTGCTGTTACAAATTTTTTGCGGGTAAAATGAGTGAGCTATTATGCAAATAAGAAGCATATACAATGTTTTTTTCTTTTAAATCATATGGTTTAATGAGCGCCATTTCTACCAGAATTAAAGTAATTCACATTCCATCTAGAATTCACTTTAATATAGACATTTTGATGGATTCTAGCAGATTTACTACTTTAGTACAAACTATTTTCAGAAAACTCACGATTTTATAAAAACTTTTCTTTCTGATTTTTTTTTTAAATCGAACTTATTTTCATTATAATAGGTTGTCAAATATCTCCCTTCCGCCTTTTTGTATTATAAACCAAGAGCAAAAAAGCGGGTATTTGACAACCTAATATCCCAAAAATAATAAAAGATACGTATATAAGCATATAGATAAAAATCGAAGGGATCTTTCTGACTTATTATTGTTTCTTATTATTTTTCTTCCACACAAAAATTGACAGAGTTATGAATGTTTAAAGACTGCGCGGCCGCGCAATCAGAGTCTTTCTCGAGCCCTTTAACCGATCGCCCTTTCAAAATGAGAGGAGTTACGTTAAATGAGATATATATATATAATATATATATATATATATATATATATATATATATATATATATATATATATATAATGCTGTAGAGGGTGATAAATATTTTTGATGCTTATTTTCTCCCAGGTTTAGGTCAATATGCAAATGCCATTCCTCAACCAGCTTTCGCCGAAGACATAAGACGTCCAGCTATTGAAGCTATACAAAAAGCTTTGCTGCTCCAGCAACAGACATCACAGTTGCAACAACAGTCCCTTCAGCAACTACAGCAACAATCCATGCAACAGATTCAACAAAATCAGTACTATCAACCTCAACAGCAACAGTATTATCAACCTCAGCAAGTTCTAAGCAACTCAGTATTGCCTCAGCAGCAGTATTACCAGGCACCAGCAAATGATCAGTACTATCAACAATCGACACAGCAAGTGCAACAATACTATCAACCGCAATTCGATCAACAACAGTTGCAGGCTTTGTTTCAACAACAATATCAGGTAAAAACTAGTGGTGTATGGCATCGTGCCTTAAGGCAAATTGCCGGAACTTCCCGTACCGTAACGAAATATTCGAGGAATTTTAAACGTTTTCACATATATTATTACAGATACTGTTACTTTCATTATTTTTGCTATCTTGTTTGTTATATCTTAGCAAATCAAATGTAAATCATAAATCAATTATTACATTAACAATAGTCATTTCATTTCGAATTCAATTTCAAAAAAAATGTTTCGTAATTTGTACAATATTCAAAAACTGCTCCCGTATAGTCACAGTCTAAACGCATTTGCGAATATTTTTGTGCGGCGTTTTCACTTATACTGTGCTTTTCTGGGTGGCATTTTCACGTTTTTCAATAGTTTTCAAAAATTGAAAAAGTGCTCCCGTATAGTCATAGTCTGAATGCATTTGCAAATAATTCTGTGCGACAATTTCACTCATGCTGTGCTTAGCTTGGCGTCATTTTGACATTTTTTCAATAGTTTTCAAAAAATTGAAAAAGTGCTCTCGTATAGTCACAGTCTAAACGCATTTGCAAATAATTCTGTGCGACATTTTCACTTATACTGTGCTTAGCTTGGCGGCATTTTTACATTTTACAATAGTTTTCAAAAAATTGGAAAAGTGCTCCCGTATAGTCACAGTCTAAACGCATTTGCAAATAATTCTGTGTGACATTTTCACTTATACTGTGCTTAGCTTGGCGGCATTTTCACATTTTACAATAGTTTTCAAAAAATTGGAAAAGTGCTCCCGTATAGTCACAGTCTAAACGCATTTGCAAATAATTCTGTGTGACATTTTCACTTATACTGTGCTTAGCTTGGCGGAATTTTCACGTTTTTCAATAGTTTTCACAAAATTGGAAAAGTGGTCCAGTAAATAAACAGTCTAAACGCACTTTGGTAAACATGTGTACCAGATTGGCGCTTAGACTGTGCTTAGCCTGGGTAATTTTTTGAATTTTTAAACCAAAATTACAAAAATATTTTTTGAAAATAAAAATTTTAAATACAATTTTTTTTCCAAAAGCAATTATTTTATCGAAAAAGCAGAAAGTTCTTTGAATCATTTAAATCGAATGCTTAGTTCTCTCAAAAATTTCCATTTTTTTAACATTTAGCTCTGTATTTCCGAAACCGCTAGGACTACCTTTGTCAAACTAATAACCACTTTTCCCCGTCATTTCGAACTGAATGTTTTTTGGATTTTTGGATCATACAAATCAGATGATCCGTTCTCTCAAAAACTCGATTTCTATTTTCTGCACTCTTTGCTCCATATCTCCGTAACGGCTGTACTTGCCTTTGCCAAAAACTAATCAGCACATCTCCCTATTAATAGGAATCGAATGTTTGTTAAACCATTCAAATCGATTAATTCGTGCACCCGAAAACGTGGACGAAAAAATGCGGACATACAAAACACACACACACACACATCCATTTTTTCTGAGGTTTGCCAGTAAAATGTTCAGAAACCTTCAAAACGTCGAGAAATGCAAAAATTTTCATTTTCGATTTTCGGCCCATTACTATAACTTACCCTACGGGAAGTTAATAATGGATACATTGGGAAAAGAATTCAGTAATAAACTTTGTGAATTTTTAATTTCTAGCAAAAGACGGGTCCAGTGCAGTTCCAACAGCCATCAGCTGCAGCATCAGAAACTAGTTATAATTTAGCTGAATCAGCAGCAAATATTGAACATCAGAATACTAAACAGTTGGGTGTTGCTTACTCGCCTTCAACGGATGTTTCTAGTTTTAAATATGCAAGTCAAGGATTGAACTATAATTTTTGAAAATATTTAGGAACAAAATTGTTGTAAGTATTAATTATTTATAGGCCATATATTGTTATATATAGTTGTAAAAATTATTTGTTAATAAATTTCATACGTTTAGATTTTTTATTTGACTCATCTTTAGTACTGAACTTTTTTCTTTAATTTATAATTTTTGGAAAAAAATTCAATAATTTCATAGTTATTTTTTTTTTCAAAAATATATATGAGTGCTTGGTACAAAATATTCGAGTTATTCAAAAAAATGATTTGGAAAAAAAAATCTTTAATCGAATTAAAATTAAAGTTAAATATTCTGTTTTTACGTGTTTTATAAATTACATAAAAAATAATACATCATAAACTCATATTTAGATAATTTAATTTATCAAATTTTTTATAGCTAAGAGTAAAAACAGAAATAAAAGTTTTCCCAAGATTTTGCGTGTCCACGTTAACCTAAAATGACGCGTCGATCCAGGTTGCGTGCACTTTTAGGCAAAAACTAGCTCCTAACTGCATTTATTAGGAAAACAATATACAATATGAAGTCAAGTTATAAAATATGACTTATAATACTATTATAAATATTTTTTAATTAAATCGAGTAAAACCCTATGTTTATATTACGTATATTGCAAATTGCAAACTTGGACATATTGTAGCGAGTTCAAATCTAATTTATTTGAATTTTTCGTATAGAAGATTATAGGAATATATAGTAAATTTCATCTAGTTTCTGCTAAGCTAACTAGAAAAGAGTGCCTGGTACAAAGTTTTTGAGTTATTCAGAGAAATGTAGAAAAATGTCCCGTGTTTTTCTATTGCGTTAAAATAATAATATAAAAATATATAATATAATAATATAAATAAATAAAATAAATAATATAAAAAATTAAAAAATCGAATCAAAGTCATTTTGTTCAAAACTTTTATATCGGAGTTTATATAACTGTTTTCATGGAAATGTAATAATTTTTTTCTAGTTTCACTCTACATAACTGAAATGGGGTCCTTTCATAAAAAATTTGTGAGTTATTTGTCAAAAACCAAGAAAATGTCCAAAATTTTCTATCGCATTCATTAAAAAAATAGATTTCAAAGTCTTTTTTTTAAAAAGTTTTATATCGGAGTGTATTTTAACGGATTTGTGCTACATTTTATATAATTTCTGCTAAGCTAATGAGAAAAGCTAAGCTCCTGTGCCTAGTACAAAGTTTTTGAGTTATTCAAAGAAATGTAGAAAAAATGTAGCAAGTGTGTGGGTCCAATTTTAGTGTTTTATGGACTCTTTTTTAATAAGTTTAATTTTATCGAAATGGCTAAATTTCAATTCTTTTTGATTTAGCTGATTATTTACATATATTGGAAAGTTCATGTGAAGTCTCTTGGCAAATTGCCACTTACTTCTAATTTATTACGCATTTTTAGGAATAACAAATACCTAAAAATTATTGATTTTATCTTACAACTTGTTTTTTAAATTAACAAATTTTTATTCATTTTTTTTCAACAAATTCTGGATATTAATTTTTAATTTGTTTATTAAATAAAACAATATTTTTGGTATAAACGGTGGCTTTTATTAAAATCTAAAAAATATTTTTTAGGAATTTTTAGGAATAACAAATACCTGAAAATTATTGACTTTAACTTACAACTTGTTTTTTTAAATTAACAAAGTATTTATTCAATTTTTCGATTTGTGTCGATTTAGGATATTCTTTTACGTTACTTTAAATAACTTTTAAATTTTATTCCGGGCTCTCTGATTTATTTACATTAGTGAATACTAGATAAAATTCACTTAAATAAATTACTTAAATTTAATAAAATAAATGCACTCCTTTAAATTCTAAACATTCTATTATATTTGAAGCGTGCTGATTAAAGAATTCTATTAGTATGTCGATTTTGGACATTTTTTTACATTTTTTCAAATAACTTTAATTTTATTACGAGCATTTCGATTTATTTACATTAGTAAAAACTGGATAAAATTTACTGAAATTTAGTAAAATTGTTATATACACTTGCATAATAAAATTTTGAATAAAGCTAGTCAGAACGCAGATTTTTTTTTAACTGCACATAGCACAAATTTATGTTCTTACGAAAAAACTTGATTTGCTAATTTTACGATATTTCAACATTTGAAGTCATTTTGAATCATTTGGCACAGAAATTGCAGTAAGTAATATAAAATACTTGCAACAAACAAACTAGTTATATTTAAAAATAATTAAAATTAATAATATAAATAAGTTTATAGTAAATAAATTAAATAATAAAAAAGTAATCAAATAGCTAATAATTAATTAAATTATATTAAACCTATAAAATATTGACTTAAGCCTTATTATAATATTATTATACCGACGGCTTGTAAAATAAATAAATAAATAAATAAAACTCAATTCTTATTGATTTAGCTGATTATTAGATTTTTTCCAAAAATTGGCTAAACAAATTCTGGATATTAATTTTTAATTTGTTAATTAAATAAAACATTTTTTTTGGTATAAACGGTGGGTTTTATTAAAATCTAAAAAATATTTGGTACAAAAATAGTAATCATACAAACATCTATAACAACAATATTAAAACACGTCGTTTTTCCTCAAATAATACACAAGAAACATAAGTTATACATCTTGCTAAACTATATTATAGAATACTAGAAATGCAGTCATCATATGATAATGATATTTTAATCTAAAGTTATCGTATATAAAGTATCTTCTGGCAAAACCTCCAGAGTGGCCTGAAGACCATCATTGAAAGGATAACATATACTGCCATCGATGACCAAACCGGCGTCGATGCATCTGGAGGTAACTGTTAATTTCTTGGCGAAGCCTCTGGATTTTATGCCTTTCGGGTGGGGCCAGACTCCGACAGAAATTAATTCGCGTAAAGAATAGCACATGCGTTCATCGGATGGCGGGAATGTTAAACTATCGTTGTAGGCTAAAGAAATTTCTTTGGCGGTGGCTTTGATGTCGGAGGAAGGACTTAAATTGCGTACTGTTTCCAGAAGTCTTCTTGCACATTGGGATGATATCCTGTTGATGCTCATGTGCCAGGATGTGCAACCAGTACCTGTGCAAACACAGAGACCAGAAGACTTAGTTTTGGTGACTGTGTCCTGGTCGTCGATGCAGATTTGTAGGTGCGAAACACGTGCAGACATATTTTCACCCATGAAGACCTCGTTTAACGCGAGGTATGGGAGCACTCTGGTGCACCTAGAGTCAACATTTTTAGGTTCCACATCATTTTTATCAATTTGTCTGGACACCATTCTGGTTTTCATAGTATGATCATGTAGGTCTACTTTACGAAAACGGTCACAATCGTACAAACCATCACCACGTACCGTGGTTCTTATGCGGTTCCTGTTGAACCAATGGTAGTCCCCGTGCAGGATTTTTTTAAAAGCTTCCTCAATATGTTCGGAATAATAACGGTGTAGACATAGACTGCCTTCGGACCTTGACGGATGCGAATTTAAGCCTACGAAAGGTCTTTTAATACACCGGGCTCGGTTGGCTGCTAAAAGAAACGTACCATCGCCTCCTACAGGTACCACCAAATCACTCCATAAAAAAGCCTCGGCTGTGGCTGTTATCCTGTTGACAACCCGCACCTCAATCCCCAAATCCCTCAAAGTCTTCGTCACTTTATTCTCGAACTGTTTGTGTAAATTATAGTAATGCAACAAAGCTTGTATATCATTCCCCCGATTTTTCAACAAACACTCCAATTCCTCAGCATTCAATTCAGGATGTCTCAGTTTCTCGAATTCATATCTGGACAACTTTGACACCACCAAACATTTTCGGAGTTTTAGGTTAGGTGCCGAAGGCACCTGACAACTATCCCCTTGTATCGATTTGAAACGAACATTTTTGACACTCGAATTTATACGATTCAATAGTGTACTATGATTATACATTTAAAAATGTTTAAATTGACTTATTCATGCGATGTTAATGTTGAGGTTAAGTGCGCAATATGTCATCAATGTCAAACGCAAAGTGTCACGTGCTGGCAACATTTTTAAAGATAACATAACATGATATTATTGACTTGCAAAGTGAAAATGATAGACGTCAAATTTTGAAGATTGTTGACAAATTTGTAAAAATTATAACCTAAAAACGGGAAAATGATCTTTACATGTACCTAACCTCAAAAATCAGGATCAAAATTAAAAATTTTATTATAAACAATTATATACAGGTGTATGCATGTAAATGCATATACAAAACTTCAAAAAATACATTTTTTGCTGAATATTTTGTATAATCAAAAATATTGTAATATAATCTACAACGTCATGAAACTGATGAGGCAAAATCAGGTATGAAAATAAGATTTTTAAATTAAACCAGGTATGTATAAATATTTATACAAAAAACACATTTTTGAAGTACAAGATCATAGATAAATAAGCATAATAATGTACAAGATAATAAAATTTTCAATATAACCTCAAAATTTGACGTCTTTGGTTCAACTGTCAAATGGGATATATAATGTAGGATTTTTTAAATAAACAATTCGGTATGTATGTGTATTTATATAGGCATACAGTGCATTAAAATATATATTTTTTCAATAAATTTCGTACAGTATGATATTTTTTTCATCAAAACCTACAAATTTAACGTCATAGTACTGAAGAGCTTTTTAATAAAAATGAGAAGTGAAATTAAGTTTTTAAAAATAAACCTTGAACGTACTTATATTTCTACCCAAAATGATACATTTTTGAAGTTCAGGATAATAATTTTTTTTATATAACCTCAAAATTTGACGTCTTTGGCTCAAGAGCCTGTCAACTGTCAAATGGGATATATAATATAGGATTTTCTAAATAAACAATTAGGTATGTATGTGTATTTGTATACGCTTACAGTGCATTAAAATATATATTTTTTCAATAAATTTCGTACGGTGTGATAATTTTTTTATCATAACCTACAAATTTAACGTCAGAGTACTGAAGAGCTTTTTAATAAAAATGAGAAGTGAAATTAAGTTTATTAAAATAAACAAGGCATGTACATATTTTTGTACGCAAAAAGACACAATTTTGAAGTACAGAATATTATAATTTTCAATATAACCTCACAATTTGACATCTTTGGTTCAAGAGTTTGACAACCTCTGTCAACTGTCAAATGTCAAATGGGATTTGTAATTTAGGATTTTCCAAATAAACAATGGATTTTAGGTATTTAAATATGTTTAAATACGCATTAACAGATATATTTTTAAATAAATTTCGTACAGAATGATATATTTTTTAACACCTTTGTCAAGAATATTCAAGATGTCAGGCAGCTGTCATAATAATGAAATAAAATAGGATTTTTCTAGCAAATAATGATATTTAGGTATGTATGTGTATTTATATGTGCATACAGTGCATTAAAATATATCTTTCAATATATTTCTTACAGTATGAAATTTTTTTATATAAAATAACCTACAAATTTAACATCTTTGTCTACATGTCAGACAGCTGTCATAATAATGAAATAAAATAGGATTTTTTAAACAAATAATGATATTTAGGTATGTAAATGTATTTAAATACACATACAGTGTATTAAAATATATATTTTTTACTAAATTTCCTTCAGTATGAATTTTTTTTATAAAAACCTACAAATTTAACACCTTTGTCAAGATGTCAGACAGCTGTAATAATAATGAAATAAAATAGGATTTTCTAAACAAACATTGATATTTAGGTATGTATGTGTATTTATATATGCATACAGTGCATTAAAATATATATTTTTCAATATATTTCTTACAGTATGGATTTTTTTTATAATAACCTACAAATTTAACACCTTTGTCAAGATGTCAGACAGCTTTAATAATAATGAAATAAAATAGGATTTTTTAATCAAACAATGATATTTAGGTATATATGTGTATTTATATGTCCATACAATGCATTAAAATATATATTTGCTAATAAATTTCGTACAGAATGGTAAGTTTTTTATTATAATCTACAAATTTAACATCTTTGTCAAGATGTCCTACAGCTGTCATAATAATAGAATAAAAATAGGATTTTATTTACTGTGCATTATTTTATTACTGTGTATTTCTCAGTTTCTGATTTAGGGTGCATCAATAGAAAAATAAATTATAGCAATACCAAAATAATCGAATAAAAAAGATTTTTTCAAATATTCATTCAGCATTTATCATTTTGCTATTATATAAGCAACTATATTTTATAACGTAATTTCTTTAGAAATAATAATTAATATAATTTTTTATGTTAATTAAATTTTTTGCCTCAAAAACAATCGTTTCATTAACACAAACATAAAGTTTTTTAAATCAATCAAATCGGATGCTTATTTCTCCCAAAAACTACTAATTTTTTGCACATTTAGCTCAGTATCTCCGAAACGGCCGGACCTGCCTTTATGCAAAACTAGTCACCTCTTCTCCCAATCATTACAAATTGAATGTTTTTTAGATCATTCAAATCGGATGCTCCGTTCTCTCAAAAACTTTATTTCTATTTTCGGCACTCTTTGCTCCGTATCTTCGAAACGGCCGGACCTGCCTTTACGAAAAACTAATCACCGCTTCTTATCATCATTACGAATTGAATGTTTTTTGGATCATTCAAATCGGTTGCTTTGTTATGGCAAAAACTTGATTTTTATATTTTGCACTCGTTGCTCTTTATCTCCGTAACTGCTGGACCTGCCTTTGCGAAAAACTAATCACCGCTTCTTATCATCATTGCGAATTGAATGTTTTTTAGATCATTTAAATCGGATGCTCCGTTCTCTCAAAAACTCGATTTCTATTTTCTGCACTCTTTGCTCCGTATCTCCGAAACGGCTGGACCTGTCATTGCCAAAACTTAATCGGCACATTTCCCTACTAATAGGAATCGAATCATCCAAATCGGTTGATCCGTGCGCACGAAAACATGGACGAAAAATTGTATCCATACATACACACACATCAATTCTTTCTGAGGTATGCCAAAATGTTCAGAAACCGCTGAAACGTAAAGATATGCAAAAATTTTCAATTTCGATTTTGATGTATATAAAAATAAAAAAAATCTAATTTTAATTTAAAATATAATTATAATTTAAATAAATCATTTACTTATTTATCAGTTGAATAAGTTTATGATTATAATTAAGAATAAATTTGAACTTAATTTAAATTAAATAACTCCATTTATATTTATATCAATGAGGTAATAATTTTGCAAACAAAATTTTAAATTCAGATAAATATGATTAATTAGAGGTCTTTCATTAACGTATTGTGATACTAGTAATAAAGGAGTTGGTAGATAGATATTACATTTTTTTGTATATTATATTTTAATATTATCTAGGCTCATAATTTCATCTAAATTCAAATTTCAAGTGAATTGATATTTCTAGCAAATTCATAGTTTTCAATGCCAAACGAGATTTTTCGTAATTTTTGCCATTTATATCTACAATATTACTATAGTTTTATCGTCCATTAAATCTTAAAAATTTTCTTTGACAAACTCTAAAAAGAATTATCAAAATCCGAATAACCGTTTAGGAGAAGTATCAAATTATACATCCGTACAGAAGAACTTTATATATATAAAATTTTAGATATTAATCAGAGTACACATTTAAAAATTATTTTAGCTAAACATAGTAAGAAATTAATTTACTATATATGTACATGGTGTCCCAGAACTCAACGGGATGATATTTTTACCATAAATGGCTTGAAAAAAATTAGAAAAAAATATGTCATGTTGTTTGGTAATTATGAGCTTTTAAGTGCAACCTAGAGCTTTTGTGATTCTTTTTCGGTTATCGTGTTTTTTTTTGTTTATCTAAAATGTTGTAAAGATATACAAAATCTTTCATTCTCGATTTTTTGCGATTACTATAACTTACCCCACGGAAAGTTAATGAATAATTAACTATTTGTTCTGTACGTTTCGACACTGTATGTGTATCTACAAATTTTAAAAAATATTTTACAAAGTACAAAAAGTTTTAATTTTTTTAATATCAATACATACCAAACCAGGAAAAAACCCAACACACAATTTCTAAAGGCAGTAACTTGTGATAATTTAATGTTAGTATAATTGAGAAATATTGTTATAATTAAAAGTTTAATTTTAATGTTAAAACCAAAATCGTGAATAACATTTCTAGGGCCACCGTCAAAAATACTAACAAAATTGCCCCACGTTTTCAAAAAATATCACATTTTACCGAAGTACGAATTTAAAATTTGTAAAATCGTCGACTTTGAGATGCTTTTTTTTTGAAAAAATGTACTCAAGTGAATAAAAAGTTTGAGCAAAAAATTAGATCCTAAAAGTTAACAATTTTCTAACTTATTTTATCACCAGCTCTCTGTTTATTCCCAATAAAACAATTTCAAGATAACCCTCAGCAATGCCACAATCTTCTCGTGGACTTTTATTAAAATTTTATCTAAAGAAAACAAAATTATTCCTAAGAAGCGATTCGAAAATTAGTTCAGAAAATTATTTTTAAATGCAATATGTAATTTATCGAGTGCATTGTAAATTAATCGAAATTTCATAATGACTTCGTAGTGTTGAAAAAAAAAAAAATTAAAAAATGAGTGACAAAGTTGGTTTATTCAAACGTTTTCTTACGTTTGGTACATTTTGTACTTTGTGCGCTTCGGTTCCGATTTTAATTATTAATTATTGTGGTGAGTAAAATTTAAAAATTATAATATATATATATATATATATATATATATATATATATATATATATATATATATATCACTTTTTTTAAAATGTTTGTTGAAGTCAAAGGATGGTTCTTACGGCGAGAAAAATCGAATAATTGTCGGAATAACCCTAAAAACAGCCCTTTTTTACATACAAACGTTTTCTAACTAAAACGTAGAATCAATTTGTGCGTTAAAAATGTTGTATGAAAAGATGATCCTCCTAAAATTCAGATTTTGATAAATCTTTTTGAAGTTTTTTTTGGGATTTTTTTTAGGATTTTTTGAATTATATAAATATAGTTAGATTGTAGAAATAAATGGAAAAAATTATAAAAAAAAACGCTTATTATTCATTGACATTGAAAATATTTGAGGAATTGTCCCATATTAAAGACCATATATATATAGATTGTGTAAAGCTTCGAACAAAGAATCAAATTGTAGTTAAAAAACAAATTGTAAAAAAGTGAAAATTACGTAAAATATATTAAAAATGAAAATATTAATAAAGAAATGGATTACATAACAAAATATTAAAATTATCGCTAATTAAAAAAAAGAAATTACGTAAAAACTAAATTATTTTTCTGAATGATTTATTTTACACTAATATAAGTCTTTTAAAACAATTTTCTTGTTTGCATAAAATCTGTGTTGATTTGATTTCACAAAAAAATTAATTTTTGTAACAGAAGTTATGTTATTTTTAGCCAAGAAGTTTTATTCCTTCGACAAACTAATTATTTTACAATTTTTTTATATTATTTGGCATATCAAATTAATTTAACACAGACACAAAATTAAATTAGTTTAGCACTCCTTTATTTGTATTTTATATTTGGTTGTTTTGTTAGTTGATTGTAAAATTGTGAATTGTGAATTGTATAATTGTATAATAATAAATATATTTATATATTTATTTATAAATATAAATATAAATATAACATAACTGTAACACTGTTTGTGCGCATCGGGAAACATTTATACAACGGGAAAATGTGAGGACTAAACAATCCTTTATAAAAATAAATGTATTTTTTTAAGTAAAATTTATTCTTTATGTTAAGAACAGGAATATTTGAAATAAAATTTAGTAGAAAAATCTCACTAACTAAAAGTGTGGTCAAAAATTGAAAATTAAAACTAAAGGATATTTGGTTCTCAAATTTAAGAAAAAAGTTAGGGATAGACAACCCTTGATATAAACAAATAGTACTTTGAAATAAAAAAGTAGAATGTATTTTTCAATTTCACACTAAAAAAATTAAAATAAATAAAATGGACCCGAAAATTTAAAAAAGTATAAATAATTATAATTTGTTTTAGAGTAAGATTTAAGCTTTTTCTTTAAGCTCAAAAATCTAAACTAAAGTACAAAAAACACATACCAAAAGTATATCAAAAATATTCATTTCGGGATAAAAAATGATTGAATTACTAAAATGGTTATAAAAATAGGGATTGGTTAAGAAAAAGTTAAAATTTAGGGTTGTGTGTATTTTTTAATGCTACATAATAAAAAAATTGATGACAAATTTCAAAAAAATAAGGGTAAACAATACTATTACATTGGGGTACGAAATTTTTTTATTGAGTACGAATGTAAAATTTGGTAAAAATCGGTGAAGCCGTTCTGGAGAAGTATATATATATATATATATATATATATATATATATATATAAATATATATATATATATATATATATATATATATAAAGTATATTTAATTCTCTATAATAAGTTCTCAGTGTTTATCAATAAAACGAAATCTTTTATTCATTAATCGAAAGGTCAGTGTAAGATAAAAACATTTATGCAATCGTAAAGTAAATAAACAAATCGCTTAGTAACTACATCAACATTTTTAGTTATATTTATACTAAAAATAGTGCAGTGACCTAATTTTCGATTCCACTAAATAATAAATAAATAAATTTATATATTTTTCTATATATTATTATTAACGTCAGGGCATTTTTTCTGTCTATCCTGCCTATTTTTTTTAACGATGAATTGATTATTATATTATGAGTTTATTATGACTAAATATTATTATTTTTTTTTTCCAGTTCTTCAATGTTGCAGAAAAATATGGTTGGCTATTTTGTCGAAAAGATTTCCACATTTGGAATTTATAAAAACTCATAGTGTTAGAAGTTTGGTGGACAGTTGGAGGAATCCGGCGGTTATTAATGTCTTGGTCGAAATTAAAGGTCAGGAGAAAAAAATTACTTTGAACATCATAATAATTTTTACATTTGTCGATAAAATTTATTTGAGCATCTGACAAAGGTAAAAGTTTCTTAGTACCATTAGATACATTTTTTTATTGCTTGCCCCAAAACTTTCAAACCATTGATTTTATAACTTCATAGCCAATAAAATAATCTAAAACTTACCCATACTTACCAAATTGCCACAACGATCATTTTCTTTAGGATTTAATAGAAATTTGGGGACATTTTTTTTGGTTTTTGTCAAATATCTCACAAATGTCAGGGGAAAGCACCTCTTTTCAGTTACATAGGGAGAAACTAGATAAAATTTACTATGAATCCGTGTAAACAGTTATATACACTGCGATATAAAAGTTTTGAATAAAATGACTTTGAATTCAATTTTTTGATAAACGCAATAGAAAATTTTGGGGGACATTTTTCTACATTTCTTTGAACAACTCAAAAACTTTGTACTAGACACTCTTTTCTAGTTAGTTTAGCAGAAAGTAGATTAAATTTACTCTATATTCCTATCACAAATACTCCTGTACGAAAAATTCAAATAAATTAGGTTTGAACTCGCTACAATATGTCCAAGTTTGCAATTTGCAATATACGTAATATAAACATAGGGTTGTACTCAATTTAATTAAAAAATATTTATAATAGTATCATAAGTCATATTTTATTATTTGATTTCATATTGTATATTGTTTTCCTAATAAATACAGTTAGGAGCTAGTTTGTGGCTAAAAGTGCACGCAACCTGGATCGACGCGTCGTTTTAGGTTAACGTGCAGACGTAAAATTTTGGGAAAACTTTTTCGTCTGTTTTTACTCTTAGCTATAAAAAATTTGATAAATTAAATTATCCAAATATCAGTTTATGATGTATTATTTATTATTTAATTTAAAAAATATTCAAAAACAGAATATTTAACTTTAATATTAATTCGATTAAAGATTTTTTTTTACAAATCATTTCTTTGAATAACTCGAAATTATTGTACCAGGTACTCTTTTCAGTTAAATAGGGAGAAACTGGATACAATTTACTACGATTCCATGCCAACAGTTATATACACCCCGATATAAATGTTTGGAATAAAACGATATTTCAATGAAATAATATAAAACTCACTCAAACAAACCCAAATGCCTTCGACAACTTTTCATCTCTCAAAACCTCATATAAGATCACCCTTCCAGGACGATGTGATAAAGCAGCGATTCGTGCAGCTGTCTCGGAGCATCTCCTAAAAAGAAATTATGCTTCTAATAAAATATCTGCAACTTGCAAACATCTCCGAAGACAATTGACCAGTTGTTGGGGGTCCAGTGCCTGGGTTCAACCATCTGGGGATGAAATCACCGAAGATTTAACATTCGACGTCACTCGGCATGTTGTTTGTGCTCCTAAAATCTTCCGAGGAAGACGGGTGAATGAGGCTAATATCCAGGTAATAAATGATCGATAAAGTAATGTATTAACTTCCCGTAGGGTAAGTTATTGTAATCGTCCAAAAATCGAAATCAAAAATTTTTGCATTTCTCGACGTTTTGAAGGTTTCTGAATATTTTGGCATACTTCAGAAAAAATGGATGTGTGTGAGTTTTGTATGTAATAGGTTGTCAAATATCTCCCTTCCGCCTTTTTGTATTAAACCAAGAGCAAAAAAGCGGAAGGGAGATATTTGACAACCTAATATGTATGGATACAATTTTTCGTCCACGTTTTCGGGCGCACGGATCAACCGATTTGAATGGATCAAAAAACATTCGATTCCTATTAATAGGGAGATGTGCTGATTAGTTTTTGGCAAAGGCAGGTTAAGCAGTTACGGAGATATAGAGCAAAGAGTGCAGAAAATAAAAATCGAGTTTCTGAGAGAACGGAGTATCGGTTTTGAATGATCCAAAAAACATTCAATCTGTAATGACGAGGAGAAGTGATGGTTAGTTTATGGCAAAGGCAGGCGCAGCCATTTCGAAGATACGGAGCTAAATATGTAAAAAATGGCAGTTTTTGAGAGAACTAAGCGTCCGATTTAAATGATTCAAAGAACTTTCTGCTTGTCTTAACAAAATAATTGATTTTGGAAAAAAAATTTTGTTCCAACTTTTTTTTTTTGTATATCGAAAATATTTAAGATTTTGTTTTTAATTCTGACTATAGTTCTAATATACTTTACAAATGATTCAGCAATTCAGTTTATATAATTCTCATAAATATTAAACAATGTCACAATATTTATAATAATCTATTTGAAAACATTCAGTATTCCTCGAACATTTCGTTACGGTACGGGAAGTTCCAGCAATTTGCCTTAAGGCACGATGCCATAATTGCCTCAAGACAGAATTCCACTTACAGCTAGTTATTTATTCTATTGACAAAACTATTTTACTCACTGAACAATACTGCCTTAATTTAGATAAATATAAAAAATATAAATAAAATACGAATAGTTTTCAATATTCCGCAGTATATATAATTCTATTTATTTTCCATTTTCTTTGTACTTCATGAAAATTATAGTAAACATTTTAAGTTTTAAGTAAAATTTGACAAATAAAAAATAATTAAGTATTTATAGTCACAATTTGATTAAAATATAATCAGTCGCATTTGTTGAAATTAATTTATTGGGAAATGCTAATGTTAAAATATTTTTTTGAATTATTTGATTAATATATTATTTAATTATTATATATTAATGAATAATATATAATATATATAATATATATTAATTAATTATAATATTAGGTTGTCAAATATCTCCCTTCCGCTTTTTTGCTATTGGTTTATAACACAAAAAGGCGGAAGGGAGATATTTGACAACCTAATATTTCAGAAATTACATTTTTATTTCAACACGGTACGTTTTTGCACATGATGGTTCGAATATGGTTCGAATATGGTTCCGAATATGGTTCAATATGGTTCGAAACTCTATTAAAAGTTTCAAATCATTGATCAACTTTTATTGATTATTATTGATTATTTTTAATTACTCGAATTTTGAATTGCGGTACGGGAAGTTTCAGCAATTTGCCTTAAAGCACGATGCCCTAATTGCCTTAAGACAGAATTCCACTTACAGCTAGTTTAAATTGTACTGGATACTTTTATTTTTGCAGGAATATGTGAGTTCTATCACCCAAAAGTACTTACCATCAAACCAACCTCCTTGGCAGATTGTAATAGTGCCCAATATAGTTTCCTTGGAAGAAAAGTACTACATCGTGGTACGAATGCACCATTTACTTTTATCCAAGGAGCATAAACTTACCATCGGTGACTTTTTGATGCTGAAACCAAGGACTAAACGTGATTTTACAACAACCTCCATACCTAGCACCATACAGGAACGAACTTTTAGCAAAAAGTTGCAGCCTGAACGAAAAAAGTCTAAAAAGTTGCAGAAGACAAGGAAAACGTCCAAGGGTCACGCACATTTGCAAGAACCTAAACCAACACATAAAACTATGAAAAAACCTTTGGCATTACCTACTGATGAAGACGTGCCTTTTATTGACACAGGTAGTAGTGAAAACCGTTTTTTTGACGAAAATTAAAATTGAATCGGTGAAATGAATTCGAAAACCGGTTTTTCAGTAGAAAAAGTCGGTTTTCCCCGTATAAATGAAAAATGACAAATATAGCCAAATATAAAAAATAAGATGAAAGCGTTTTGATTCTTGAAATCATATCGGTTCAATAGCATTTGATATCTCATCAGTCTGCAATGGTTCCCAGAAAGGTTTTGTATATATTAATTTCAATTTTTATACCAGTGTATATATTAATTTAAATCAGTGTGACTTCTTCTTGAAAAAGTAACTTCCTCTACTCAAAGTTAAAAACAAAGAGTTTTAAACCCTAGAAGCCACAAATTAAAGAACAAAAACATTATTATATTAGGCTATAAAAACAATTAAGTCTGGAGTAAATAACGGACACGTCTAAGTAACAAATCAATAGACGTTCAGAGTTTTTTAGAATAACATTTTATTAAACAAAAAACTAATTAAAATTTTAAAAATAATTAATGAAAATTGCTCGGAATAGAAAATACTTGGGGTTTAGCTTAATTGTTTTTAAAACTAAAATTGATATTGACAAACATGTAAAACTTAGATAAAATAAGATGAATATAATAATAAGATGAAAATTTCGTAAATGTGCAATTGTTTAACGGTAAAACTTAGATAATAATAAGATGAAAATTTCGTAAATGCGCAATTGTTTAACGGTAAAACTTAGATAAAATAAGATGAAGATAATAATAAAATGAAAATTTCGTAAATGTGCTATTGTTTAACGGTAAAACTTAGATAAAATAAGATGCAGATAATAATAAGATGAAAATTTATTATTGTATTATTAACAAACATGTATCAATATGTATCTAATATTTTTTTATTTTTATTTATTCGAACGCTTTTCTTTCACTATTATAAAAATATTTATATTCTCATATGTGAAAATGATGCATAAATAACAAATAATCATTTTCAAAGTTATTTAATCAAGATAAACTATTATTTTTATGTTCTATTAATTAAAATTAAAATAAATTTGTTCACTATCCATAAAATTGAACAATAAATAAATCCAGTCAAATACTGCTCTGAATTACACTAAATATGCGGATAAATTACAGAATGTTCGAGCAGAAATTTATTTTCTATATAAAATTCGAAAACCGGTTTTTGAAAAGTCGGTTTTTGTATAAACCCTAATACATACTTGTTAATATCAATTCTAGTTTTAAAAACAATTAAGCTAAATTCGGGTATTCTGTTTCGAGCAATTTTAATTAATTTAAACATTCTAATTGTTTTTTTTTTGTTTAATAAAATATGATTTCAAAAAACTGAGAACGTTTATCGATTTTCTACATAGACATGTCCTTTGTTTACTCACAAAATTTCCTGTAAGAGAAAATACTCTTATACTTGCGACCAAATTATGCTTAATTATTTTTAAAGTCAGAAGTTTTTTGTTCTTTAATTTGTGGCTTCTAGGGTTTAAAACTCTTTTTTTATAAGTTTGAGTAGAGGACGTTACTTCTTCAAGAAGAAGTCACACTGATTTAAATTAATATATACAGTGGTATAAAAATCTAAATTAATATATACAAAACTTTTCTGGAAACCATTGCAGACTGATAAGATATCAAATGCTATAGAAATGATATGATTTCAAGAATCAAAATGCTTTTATTTTTTATATTTGGCTAAATATGTCATTTTTCATTTCTACAGTGAAAACCGACTTTTTTCACTAAAAAACCGGTTTTCGAATTCCATAATTTTCGCCAAAAACCGGTTTTTGAAAACCGACAAACCCTAGTATGTATCAACATGTATCTAATATTTATATTAATTTTTCTTTTAGTTTAATATTTTTTTTTCATTTATTAATGTATTATTTCCATTTATTCGAGAACTTTCTTTTCACTATCATAAAAATATGTTCATTCTTATAAGTGAAAATGGTGCATGAATAACGAATAATCATCTTCAGAGTTATTTAATACAGATAAACTATTATTTTTTAGTTCTGCAAATTAAAACTAAAATAATTTTTTTTACTATCTATAAAATTGAACAATAAATAAATACAGTCAAATAATACTCTAAGTTACACTAAATTTGCTTATAAATTACAGAATATTCGAGCAAAAATTTATTTTCTATATAAAATTCGAAAACCGGTTAAAACCGGTTTTTTAGTAAAATTGAAATTCGAAAACCGGTTTTCTAAAATGTCGGTTTTTGTAGGTAGTAACAACCCTAAAATCCTGATAACTTCAGAAGATGCTTCACCATCAACTCAAGTTGGTGAGGAAAGTTTGCATTTACCAGAAGCCGATCAAAACTTAGACGAGCAGAGTCAGATATCCAAAGAAACTCAGAAAATTTTAGCTGAACGTAAACAAATGGACTACGAAGAATACATCCTGCCAACTATACAAGATCTGAAAAAATTCCTGCAAGTTAAAGATAATTCTGGTTCACAATCAGATTCCGATGTTTTAAGCGACGAGGACGACTTGACATCGTCGACTTTACAAATCAATGTGGATCCTAAAAACACTTTGAATTTTGAAATTTTGGAAAATCTGGAGCAACTGCAAATGATAACTGAACAACTGTCTAAAGTTTTACCAGAGATTTCATCTACTGGATCACAATTAGATCATAAAACACCACTTTTGGAAATTTTTGAAAATCCTGTAGCTGCTCCTGAACTTGTACGAAGGATCAATTTAACCTTTGATGAATTGTGGAAGAAATTTAGAAGCAAATATGATCCTTTGGAATGGAGTAATAGACAAAGTATTGGGGTTTTTGGTTTGATGGCTGTTGTTTTAATTGTTTTTGGAACTGTTTGGAAAAATTTGACAACAAAAGATAACTTAGCCAGAAACAACTTGGTTTCTAAATCCTGGTAAGCGCCAAAACTTTTGTAATATGCTTAAAATATTATCTTTTGATGATTCTTTTTTTGTAGGTTTATCAAATCATCTTTGCAAAAAGAATTCGCACGCAGGGACATCAAATTTACCTCAATTTTCTCAGCAGTTTTTACGTCTATAAATCCAATAAATTTGACAAAATTTTATATAAAATTTTGGATCCAATTCATAATTAGTATGTGCAAGTTTCCTGTACGTGTAGTTCAAGAATTTTTAGCTGTGGCTTCAATTTTGAAAAATGGATTTTGTGCATATACCAACACCTGGTCGTATACTTTATGGGAATATACACCACTAGTTTTTGGATCTATCCGGGAATTAGGGTAAGTAGGCATTTTTAACTTTGAAAATGAAAATTTGTGCATTTCTTCACGTTTCAGAGGTTTCTGAACATTTTGGCATATCTCAGAAAAAATGGATGTGTGTGTGCGTTTTGTATGTCTGCATTTTTCGTCCAGGTTTACGTGCGCACGGATCAACCGATTTGAATGGTTCAAAAAACATTCGATCCCTATTGATGGCGAGATATGCTGATGAGTTTTTGACAAAGGCAGGTTCAGTCATTACGGAGATACGGAACAAAGAGTGCAGAAAATACAAATCGAGTTTTTGAGAGAACGGAGTGTCGGATTTAAATGATCTAATAAACATTCTATTTGTAATGATTGAGAGAAGTGGTTATTAGTTTTTGGCAAAGACAGGCCCAGCCATTTCGAAGATACAGAGCTAAATGTGCTAAAAATGGCAATTTTTGAGTGAACTAACCGTCCGATTTGAATGATAGAAAAACTTTCCGCTTGTATTGACAAAACAATTGCTTTTGAGGATGGAAAATTATTACATCTTTTTTTATTTTCCATAAAATATTTTTGTAATTGAGTAGTGTGATAAAGTAGAGTCTCTTTTTTAAAATTCTAGAACACAACTGCAGTTTGCTCCTCAATTTTCACATCAAAATCAAAGTTGCTCGTCAGTAGAGTCCCTTTTTAAAGGAAAATTTGTATTTGCTCGTCAGAAGAGTCCCTTTTTCAATATTCTAGATCAAAATTAACTTTGCTCGTCAGTAGAGTTCCTTTTTAAAATAAAAATTAAGTTTGCTCGTCAGTAGAGTCCTTTTTGCTCCTCTGAATCTAAAACAAAGTTTGCTCGTCAGTAGAGTCCCTTTTTACATTAAAAATTGCTGAATTATTTTGCTCGCCAGTCGAGTCCCTATTTTTATTTAAGATTGCTATTGTACTATGCTCGTACGAGTCCTTTTCTTAAATAAAATAATAGTTTGCTCGTCAGTATGTTGTTCTTTTTTAATCTTTCTGTACAAAATTAATTTTGCTCGTCTGTTGCCTGTTTATTCTTTTAGATCAAATTAAACTTTTGCTCTCAGTAGTTTTTTTTTAATTTTAATTTGCTTCTTACATTTTTTGTCAGTAGAGTCTTTTTTATGTTAAGATCAAAGCAAAGTTCGTTCGTCAGTAGAGTTCCTTTTTAGATTAAAAATCGAAATCAAAATTTGCTCGTCAGTAGAGTCCCTTTTTTGATATTCTAGATCAAAATTATGTTCGCTCGTCAGTAGAGTCCCTTTGCTCCTCTAAATCTAAATCAAAGTTTGCTTGTCAGTAGAGTCTCTTTTTAATATTTAAGATCGCCTTAAAGTTTGCTCGTCAGTAGAGTCCCTTTTTACATTAAAAATTGCTAAATTATTTTGCTCGCCCGTCGAGTCCCTTTTTATATTTAAGATTGCTATTGTACTATGCTCGTCAGTAGAGTCCTTTTCTTAAATAAAATAATAGTTTGCTCGTCAGTATTGTTCTTTTTCAATCTTCTTGTACAAAATTAATTTTGCTCGACTGAGAGTCCCTGTTTAATCTTTTAGATCAAATTAAACTTTTGCTCTTCAGTAGAGTTTCTTTTTTAAATTTTAATTGCTTCTTACATTTTTTGTCAGTAGAGTCTAATTTATGAAGATCAAAGCAAAGTTCGCTCGTCTGTAGAGTTCCTTTTTAGATTAAAAAATCGAAATCAAAATTTGCTCGCCAGTATAGTCCATTTTCTTAAATTATTTATATCAAATATTAGTTTCCTCGTTAGTAGAGTCCCTTTTATAATTCTCTAGGCCAAACTTCCTAATTTTTAACTTCCGTAGGGTAAGTTTATAGTAATAGGCCGAAAATCGAAAATGAAAATTTTTGCATTTCTCGACGTTTTGAAAGTTTCTGAACATTTTTGAGGGGCATACTTTAGAAACTAAATGGTTGTGTGTGTATATGTGTCAAAAAATTGAAAAAATTACCCAGGCTAAGCACAGTCTAAGCGCCACTCTGGTACAAATGTGTACCCAAGTGCGTTTAGACTGTTTGTGTACTGGAGCACTTTTCCAATTTTGTGAAAATTATTGAAAAATGTGAAAATGCCGCCAAGCTAAGCGCAGTATAAGTGAAAATGTCGCACAGAATTATTTGCAAATGCGTTTAGAATGTGACTATACGGGAGCACTTTTTCAATTTTGTGTAAATGTGTGGCAACTATTTTTTTGAAACTGAATTCGAAATGAACTGACGATTGTTAATGTTCGAGATAAATTGATTTATAATTTACATTGGATTTGCTCACAATATAGCAAAAATAATGAAAGTTACAGTACTTGTAATAATATATTTGAAAACGTTTAAAACTTCTCGAATACTCATTACGGTATAGGAAGTTCCAGCAATTTGCCTTAAGGCACAATGCCATACACCACTAGTTAATTAATGATCTGTACATATTCATAATATTGTATTTTGAGTAATTTTACAACCATCCTTAAATTTCTAATAACATTTTTAATATTTTTTACATTTTTACTATGATGTCATATTTGATATTTTTTAATAATTTTACAAATTAATATAAAATTTTATCTAAAACTACACTTCATACTTTTAAATACACAAATTAATAGAATAAAAATAATAAAATTGCTAAAAATAATAAAAATTATGTTACGGTTATGAATAAATAAATAAATAATTAAATTAATACTAATAATGAATCTTGCATTAATATTACAATTTTTGTTACATTTATATTTTTTTATAATATTAAATATTAATTAAATTACTATGATGAAATATTTTATATAATTTTTGGATTTACTGTATAATTTTGTAAATTTCTTCATAATTATATAAATTTTGTTAAATATTTTTAAATAAATAAATTTTAATAATTACTGATATATTATATATAGTTTTCTTGAACTTTTAAATTCTATCATTGATAAATAACATGTTCAGTTACAATTTTTAACAAAATAGTTATAATTTTATCTTTGTAATTCAGTGCATATAATTCTTATAAACTAGTGGGGTGGGTGGCATCGTGCCTTAAGGCAAATTGCTGGAACTTTCCGTACCGTAACAAAATGTTCGAGAAATACTGAATGTTTTCAAATAGATTATTATTAATATTGTAATATTGTCTTAACATTCATAAGAATTATATAAACTGAATTGCAAAGTTGAAATTATTTGTTTAAAGTATATTAGAACTATAGTCAGAATTAAAAATAAAATCTGAATTATTTTTGATATACAACAATTTTTTTTAAAAAAAAGTTGAAACAAAAATTTTTTTTTCCAAAATCATTTATTTTGTTAGGACAAGCAGAAAGTTTTTTGAATCAATTAAATCGGACGCTTAGTTCTCTCAAGAACTGCCATTTTTTGTACATTTAGCTCCGTATCTTCTAAATGGCTGGCCCTGCCTTTGCAAAAAACTAATAACCACTTCTCCCAATCATTACTTTCAAAAACACGATTTCTATTTTCTGCACTCTTTGCTCTTTATCTCCGTAACTGCTGGACCTGCCTTTGCCAAAAACTAATTAGCACATCTCCTTATCAATAGGAATCGAATGTTTTTTGAACCATTCAAATCGGTTGATCCGTGCGCCCGAAAACGTGGGCGAAAATTTGTATCCATACATACATACACACACACACACACACATATCCATTTTTTCTGAAGCATGCCAAAATGTTCAGAAACCTTCAAAACGTCGAGAAATGTAAAAATTTTCAATTCCGATTTTCGGCCCATTACAATAACTTACCCTACGGGAAGTTAAAAGGAAGCATTTGGCGGTCAAAAGTGATCATTAAACATATGCACATCAAATTATTATATATTTTAACAATAAGTATTTGTTTACATTTTACTATGGGTTCTGTATCATTATTTCTTCCTTATTCTGCGAGGCGACGCTTACGCGCTTCTTTATTTTGTCTCTCGATTTAAAAAAAGTTCTTTTTTTATTTTAATTTTTTGTACGGAAAGTTGCAGCAATTTGCCTTAAGGCACGATGCCAAGCACCACTATTTATAGTATGTAATGCGAAATAAATTTTCTGCAATCAAATAGTAATTTTAATTTTAGGAAAATGATATATAAAAACTATCTTACCTAAAAGTTCAGGGATGGGGCGGCATTTTTGTCAGTGCCCCAGGGAGCCAAATTTCTAAATCCGGCCTCGCCTTTTTTTCGCATGTGTCTACTACAATTTTTATTTTTCAGTTACATTTTCTCGGTCATCTACAACGCTCCCATAAAGATTTTGGGCGAACTTTTACCACGCCGATCAAGAGAACCCTTCCACACTTTGCAAACGGTATCACTTTGTGGTAGAAAAGTGGTAGCCTGGTCTCATTTCGTGAAAACTGATGTCATCACTGCCATAGCCCTTAGGACTGGTGTCAATAACACAGAAGTGATGTTATCTGCTGCTTGTGGAGCCCTAGGAGACTTTTTCAGGGAGAACGATGTCCCTGTTCCTGGTCAAGTTGGAGCCACTATTAGGCACGTTGCCCAGGATTTTCTTCTGACGCCCTTTTCGCCCAATAGGGAAGGACATAGGGACAGGATTGGAGGAGTTGTGAGTAGAAAATAGAGAAAAATATTAATTTGGGTATAAGATTTATGGAAAATGTATTTGATGTGCAACTTTTTTATTTCTAGGTTTGTGTGAGTCTGCCTATGAAGTTCACTGAGGACCCTGATGACTGTCTGAAAAACTTACAAGAAGTGAAAAGTAATAATTTGATTTATATTTTACTAGGAGGCGTCTAATAATCACGTAACCGAGTTTTTAAGTTTTTTTTTGTGATACATAGTGATATTCAAAATTAGCCCCCCACGCCCAGCAAACATCACGTGTATTTTTAGTTACGTGATAAAACTGTTCAATTTTTGATTTTTTTTTTGAAAAGTTTGAATTTCTTTAAAAAAATTAGTTAAAAATAAATACACGTGATATCTTAATATACCCCTCCTTCCTCTAAAAACCTTACGTGATTAATGGAAGCCCGCCTATTAGAATTATGGTATAAAAATATTAATGCCATTACAATTCAATAAACTAGTTGGTTATTGAAGGCAAGTTACATGAACTTCCCGATACGTGTAGATAATCGACTTAATCAATAAAATATAAATTAATTTATGAGCGATTAAAAGTATTCCGAGTGGATTTATTACACATAATTGAAAACGAACGAACACCATAACTCGGTGTATTTTCTAAAAGCAAATTTTCAAAAATCAACAATTTTCATAACTAAACTAGTTTCCGTAGCAGTTTAATAGTTTAGTATGTTCATTAAGACCAAGTATTCTATTCGTGTAATCGTGTAATTTTAATTTTAATCAACGTCAAAAAAACTACTCATTTTCTCAAACTTTGATAAATTTTTAAAATTAAACTACTTGTCGTAAAGCCGTAATATTTCAGTAAGTTCTATAAGACCATGATGTATATCGCCAAAAAAAGTTCCATAAAATCGGCTTCAATTTTTTTTTCAACAATTAATTACAAGAAAACGGCTCTGTAGATTTTCACCTAAAACTAATCAGTATCATTCCCAACTAATATCTTTCGAATAGTTTTTGATTTTTTAAAATCGATTCGGTAGTATGAGCTTAAATGTGGACAAAAGTTTAACACTTTTTTTTTTCAAATTACAAAGAAACGCTTAGCAGATCGTCGCACAAAACTGACAAACGATAGTCCTCATCGAGATACATCAAATGGTTTTTAAATTTATGAA